GTTGCATATGTTTCTTATTGTATGCGCACGTCTGAGATGTAGTGGGTCAAGATTCTGGGTTCGGGAGGTATTTCCTTGACGAGGGGTTGGGGTTAGTGAGTAGTGCCTTTGTAGGCTTGCTAAATGGGCATCACATGTAGGTGAAGAGAAGGACTCTTAAAAATGGCAAGATTTTATGGGGGTTTGAAGTTAAATCCTCAACATGGTGTTTTTTGGAGAAGGCCCTCACAAGGATTTTTCGTGAAAGGCTCTTTGGAAAACTGAAGTGCCTTCTAAGGTGTCATTTTTGTCGGTAATGCGTAGCAATGACAAGGTTATCGAATTTCAAAAAGAGAAAAAGATGAAGAGATGTGCAAAGAGTAGAAGAGATATGAAATCATCTTCATCTTCATTGTCCAGTTGCTAGATAGTGTTGGCATTTATAAATCTCTCTATATGGGGGTGTTCTCGATGAGGTCTTGATCAATAATGAAGTTAGTTTTATGTTGGAGTGGATGTGTGTGAGGAGGAGGTTGGGTTGTGTATTTAGTTGAGTTTATGGCTAGAGCGTTATTGGAGACATTTTGGAGGAATGGGGTACTCTAAGGAAAATTTGAAGCACTAATTTTTTTGCATAATGCTCTTGTAGGGGTTATCACAAGAGCTACTATGACCAACTAACTCTCTTTTTAATTTTTGGGATGGCTTGTGGGGATAATTAATCTATATTTTTGGAGAATGGACTTCTTTTGTGTGGGGTGTTATTTCATTTTTTGGTTGTCGCATATGACGTGTACATGGGTTTTGCCCCTGGGCGATCTATAGTGGATTGTGTCTTTCGACAAAAGAAAAAAAGAAAATGAAGAAAACTGGATGTCTTTATTGTAACATGCTTACCCGATGCATGTCTATGGTAAGGGCATTCTACCTCATCCGTTGTCCCATTTTGGATTCTTCCAATTTCTTGACTAGATTGTTGTTTGGAAAATAATGTTGAACATTGCTTCGAAGTGGTGTCTTTTGGTTTAGACTTTAGATTTGGTATCAACAATGGATAGAATGATATTCAATAATCATATTCTTCCTTTGGAGTTATTATGGGAAAGAGTTGTTTTTATGGCTTCTTTATGGACCAAAGCCATTTGAAGTTTTACTGGGTTGCCTCTATGGGATTGGACTAGCAATGTATAATTATTCTTTATATTGTGTTTTTTTTTTATTATGATTGAGGATTTCTTGTCTTCCACGATATATCTTAGTTTTTGATTCCCTTTTCTAATAAAAATTTCTTCTTTTATAAAAAAAAAAAATGGATAGAACGGTAGGAGGTGCAGATATTGAAGGCTCCTAATCGTATAAAAAAAAATATTGAAGGCTCCTAATCGTATAAAAAAAAATATTGAAGGCTCCTAATTTGGCTTCAATTATTTTTTTTAAAGAAATTCCTAACTGTATTTTTGTTTAGTTCCATCCTATTCAAAAACGAAAAAAAAGACAGAAGTATAGTAAAATAGGCTCTGATCTAATAAGAAATTTAGGAGAAAGTTGAGGTTTTTGGGATTGAACAAGTTGTAAGACCTCACAGTTTTTGATCTGCTTTTCAATTTCTGTAATTTGTTTTACTTGCTGTATCAGATGCTGGTATGAGTTTTGAGGCTTTTGCTGCGAATTATCAGCTTGGAAATTGTTTCCCCAGACATTGAACTTATGGGTTTAAAATTGGATTGCTTTTGGGATATGATTGACTTGGAATTAGACTCCCCTCTTTTTGTCTCTTTCACATGAATTATATATTGTCCTATTAAACGATTTTTTTTCCTGATTTTCACTCATAGTTACATGTCTCAAACTCTCCTCCAGCTCTGAGAATTTTAGGGCTGGAATTTAACACATTTATCAGTTCTACCTATCTGCCTTTTTTCACTTAATTTGTATGTTTCAGTATAGTTCATCGTATGCAGTCTTAGTTTAGACAGTAATTGATTAAACGATAAAACGTACAGAACTGTTTTATCTGTGTCTTCACCACAAGTTAGATATGCAAGGAGATGAATTGTTGCTGGGTTGATGCTCCAAAATAGATCCCTCAATATTCACGAAGTATGTGGTCTCACCAATTTCTGCATATGCTGGAGCATGGTTAGCACTATTGGCATCTAAAAGGTAGCTTAGCTAATCCATCTCTTTGTGATTCCTTTGGAATTGCAACTTACTTTTTTGGGATTGTTGAGTTGCTGCTGTCTTTTACCCTGTAATGTTTGGCAGTTTTACCTGATTCCAAACCACACATCTTTCTGTTTAAAATGCAAATGTTGAACAACTCACAACCCACAGATGGACTGTACTCAAACACCAATAACCTCTATCCACATCTAATGAAATACTTTGGTTATTTGACATGCATGTACACATATACAACTGCTTGGCCACCTTTCATATATTTCCGAAGTTAATTTATATAAAATGCGTCTGTGGAATTTGAGCTCATTCTTCTTTTTTGTTTATTTGACTTTGGAAACTGCAACGGGTATCATGTACCAAAAGGAAAACTGCAAGTGGCATTGAAGTAAATTATTACATAAAGAAGTCCAGTTTGACGTCTGTAAAGCACTGACATGGACATGAGATGCAGACACAACATGACTTGACATGCGCATGTTGACATGATGCAGCCCAAAAAGAATTGGACATCATGGACACAGCTAGGGTTCTCTGCAAATAAAAAATTCAAATTTAACATATATGTATAAAATATGAAAACCATTATTTTATAACAAGTTATATATACTATTGTATCAGGGATTTTTCAGTTAACATATTAAAATGACTGATAGTTTCACCAAGGACATGATGTCAAGTCATAACAAGCATTCATACTTGTTACAATTTTTGTTACCTTTTATGCCCCTTCTTTAATGAAAAACATTTTAAGTATCTTACTGTGCTTTGCTTATGAACATTACATAATATCTTTTTCTAATAAAATAGTCACTTCCCAACTTCCAAGCTTCTTTAATCTCGTGTTAGTGAGAGTTCAACAAGTGTTGGTCATGTGTCCTGAAATAATAATAATTATTTTTTTAAATTTCTAGACATGGGCAAAGGAGAGTTTGACACATGACCACAAGAGTGTAGGCCAGGTGTTCAAAATTATGTTAGTAGTTATGGACAATGGTAAAGGAGTGCCAGATACATGTCCAGGAATGTTCAAGAAGTGTTGGAGTTGGTACATCAAGATAGAACCTTCTCAGAGGTGTCTATTTTTAGATTGGCCCTTGTAATGATTTTATTTCAGCATGTTGATTTATTTGTTAAAGGAAAAATGGAGTACATCCTATTGAAGAGATATGTTTCTTGAAAAGTTTTCTGGCATCAGCTATGTTGCTTCAGCAGAGTAAAAGGGGACAAAAAGGAATTGTAGCTTTTGAAGTTGCTCTATGATGGATCTGAGAGACAGTTGGAATAGCCAAATCATCTTGATCACCTTGTCTATAGTACTTTTTTTAGTTAAATTTAAGTTGTTTCAGTTATCTGCCCTTGCCTAGTGTGAGCAAATGTTGAAGCTTGATTTCTGAATTCTTGATTTTGGCCACTTTTTCCTCAAATTATGATAGAAGAGGAACAAAAAATGTGAAGAACGGGAGACGGTGGGGATGAGGAATCTTTAGAGAAAAATTAACGTTGCATTGTGAAGGGCTTGTAGAGAAAACATATCACCATCCCTAATAGCCAGCCTCATTATCTCACTTAGAGAGGGGTTCTCTAAAATTTATGAAGTGGAAGCCCCATGTTTTGGACAGAAACTTGCTTTCTCATTAACCAATTTAGGGACTAATTCTTAAGCCTCTAAAGTGTATTTTTTCATCAAGCGAGTGTATATAGGACATGCTACGAATTTGGAGCTTTCATCAATCAAACAATGATCAAGACCAGTGAAGAAGCTTCTAAGGGATTCAAGAAAAACTAGAATCTCTGCACTAGAAGTGCAATTATGTCTCACTGCCCAAGAGAATATGAAAAGAACACTATCATGAGATTTTGTTAAATTTGAAATATGGAAGTTAATTTGGCACAAAAGTGTTCATGGGGGTTGAAAAAGTAAATGATGTTGGTCTAGGGTATCTGTAATGTATCTTAACAACTAGCATTCTTCCTTATTAGTCAGTTTGCTCAACCCAAACTGGTCTGGCTGGGACCTTATATTTTTCAGTTAATCAAGCAAATAGATCAAATAACTTGTCAGGTCTATTAAGTTTTTTTATGAACAATTTTATTGACAAGTGATTGGCACATAAGAAGATTACAATAAAAGTGGATGAGAGTCCTGCCCAAGGCATTGTATAGTAACTCAAGTACATAGAATCCAACTTACAATCACACAGAGCATTCCACAATGCCAAGATGCAGAATAGAGGATCTGTGAAACTCCTTAATAACTGAAGCTCAAAAGGTTCTAGGAACTAACTTTTTGTTCCCATAAATCGTCCACTATCTCACATCCATTCCAAAAGATTCCAGCTTCATTTCCAATTTCAGAACCTCTCGGTTTGCAAGAAATCTTGGATGATATGCTTGCTGGGCAATTTCGGAAGACCAGCAATAGAGGCCTTGTGAAAGGCTCTCAAGAAACCAGAGTAGAATGTGGCAGAACAACTTAATAACATCCCCGTGTGGATCTCAATTGTTGATATATTGATACTTCGGAACCTCACCGGGAGCAGATGATTGAGGTACTGTTTATCAATCACATTAAAGCAGAGGACCCAACTATGGAAAGTCCTCTTAAGGGTAGTGTTTGGTAATACCCAAAACAAATGAAAAGAGATTGGGGTCAATAATTGGTAAGGCAAAATGAATAAGGGGCAGCTGTGGTCGAACTCTAATTCTGGGGAGAAGTCCAGGCCCTTTTACCAAGTCTACCAGATAGAAGATGATGGACTGCCAACAATTATTGCGTTTCACTTCGAGTTCCTTCCTTCGTAGTCAAATCTGTTTTGTATGCATTCTTATGATTTTAGAGAATGGGTGAAATTTATTGTAAGCGAAAATCAACACATGATGGGCTTAAGACATGGGGCCAATTAGGAAACCAGTTGACAGCATACACTCTCAAGGTGAACCATCTGGGCGTATTTGTCATCTTAAATCTTCATGATCGACAGAATGTTGTATGCTATATGTTTGTGCTTTTACCGTGCTTTGACTACGTTAGTTCATCAAAACTTCTGATTCCTTTTCTTTTCTCTCTTTTGGGGTGCTGTTGTAGGAACACTTATGTTCATTTGTTTTTGTCAAAATGAACTATAAACTGTGTTTTTTTTTGTTTCATTCACTGACCACAAGAAAGATTTTGCTCTAGAAATCCAGAAAACACTATCGCTGCTGATAGCCATAGTTTGGGAAAGAGTGTCTTCAGCTATGACTTCTCTTCAGCTATTGCAGTTAACCGAGCATGGTCGAAGCCTTTTGGCCTCGAAGAGGTATTGACTGTTCACGCTGTGCCCCATTATTGATGATCAATCTAAGTATCCTCTATCAGCCTGTACATATTTTTGTTGAGTCCTATTCTGCAAAATATGACATAGTTGTGCCTTCTCATATATTCTATGTTTGTTTCAAGTTACAGTCCTAAATTTAATGTTTTTTTTTTCATTCTTTTTGCATCAATTTTAATGGGATTGGGTTGATCGTGCAACTGATCTTTTGTCTAAATCAATCATTGATAAGCCTAGCTGGCTCCTAAGCGCATGCATCAAGATATCATGTGCAATTGCGGCAGGCAGCAGTTGGTATTATGGCTAGGCAACGACCAATTTTAGGGTTAAAGAGTTAGTTTAGTGTAGGAAAATTGTTGAGAATAGACTTGTATTTCTAAAGAAATTGCCTGTTATACGTTTATATTCTGCCTGAGATTTAAGTTCACTTAAAACTAGAAGATGTTCCAAATTTTTAGCTACATGCACTGTAGTTGTGAAAAATGATAACACTTGAAAATATAAGAAATGTCTGTTAAGCTTGCTCAACTCTGTTCAGACTCTTTTTGATGGATATTTTCTATCTTATTTTGGTTGATTGACAATGGCAAGAGAAGGGGGTGATATTTGTCATTTGTCCTGTAGTTGCTAATTGCATCTTGGACCTTTTAAGAGTACATGGAACTGGAAGTTAGAGCATTAGGAATTGCAGATAAACTTATTTCATTGCATCCTATAAATGAATTCGATTTTTAAAATGGAGATCTGATAAAGTTTAGAATTTAACTGGTTTTATTAGTCTTTAACCTCGTGGTAGTGGTCGTAGACATTAAGATGGCCTATTGGTTAGTGAATACTGGGCAATGAACCATCTTCAATCTCTATTCTTGTGTTTTTGTATATACTTTTTAATTTGAGTCATGCAAGTGAGAACTTTTGAGTGCAGAGTTCAAGTTTTATTTAAGGAATGCCATTGACTAGTTTTGTTTATAGGGAGTCCAGGGTAAGAGTTATAATTGAAGCCATTCTAGTTCGTACTTGTGGTTATCAAAGTAGAATCAAAACCTCACCAGTGACTGGGTCCCACTTAGAAAATGTTCTCGCAGCAATGCAGGGTCTCCGTGTCTGCTCAATTCTTGGCAAAGGTGCTAAATAAGTTCTGAATACACACCTAAAGATGGAAGAAGAGACTCACATTATAGAAGTATAGTATATATTGCAATGTTTATTTGCATTAGGTAATAGTGGAAGAAAAATTAAGATTGTTGAGAAAATTATCTGCTTCCCCACCCCCACTCTGTTATATGCGCAGGAATCTGCAATCACTCATGCAGAGAGATCAGTGTTCTACATTTGCATTTTTCAACCTTTTCTTTTCCAGAATTTCAACATGATTAGTGGACACATTGTATTATTAATTTATTCAGTGGTAACAAAGATAAACTATGAGCATAATGCTATGTGATAAGGAGTTGAAGCCTGTACCAGTCACTGCTACAGGAACAGTTTTGTGCACCTCAGTGGACACTGTTAGGAGGATTGCGATGAGACCCACAAGCAGGAGCTTGGGACCTATGCTTGGTGTAGGCACATGCACAGAGCTAAGGGATAGATTTTGAGGATTTAGTTTTTTCATGCAATTTGCGATTTAAATATGATAATTTTTGGGTTATATGCGGGTGGCTATTTGAATATAAACTTTAGATTTTGGATTTGCCTGTAAACACTATGCTGATGTAATAGGTAATCATTGCTGCTGCTAGGATAACATTGACAGTCTCTCTCTCTCTCTCTCAGCATCTTCAATGTGCCCAGGTGTTTTCCTATCAACTACAGTTCTAGTGATTGCTGCTAGGCAATCCTTCAAATGATTGGCCCTGAATTTTATATTTGCTCAAACAAATTTTTTTTTAACTAAATAGAAGGTTGAAATGAATGAATGATTTGGTGGTTTTACTAAAAGCCTCAAGGCATGAATGTTGGGAAAGCTTCAGTACGGTACTGGTTCTTTGACACAAACCATTGATTTTTTTGCATTATTGACTATATTGGTTCTTTATGCGGTGGGAATTGTGGTTTCCTTGAATTTGATTAAAGGGGCTAAAAGTTGTTCTTTCTTGTGAAGAGAAAATATACATGAGTCTTTTGTTCTCTGATATTTATTATTCTATTTCTCTCTCTCTCTCTCTCTCTCTCTCCATATATATATATATATATATATATATTTAATCACAATTATAGTCAGAGTAGGAGTTCCCATTCATCATCTCCGTCGAGGCCTCATTTTATATATATATCTACATATGTACATACATATACGCTTACATAGACATGTACACACCTATCTATCTATCAACTGTGGAGAAAAGGTCACATCTCATTTGTGTAGAATGTTTTATTTACTGGTGTCTAATTGTCTTCTGTTTTGGTTAACATCATAATGCTTATCAGACGAGAACACATTCCCCTTGTTGTTTCATGCTTTCACCTTACATATATGTACATGTGCACATACATATACGCTTACATAGACATGTACACACCTATCTATCTATCAACTGTGGAGAAAAGTTCACATCTCATTTGTAAAATGTTTTATTTACTGGTATCTAATTGTCTTCTGTTTTGGTTAACATCATAATGCTTATCAGACAAGAACACATTCCCCTTGTTGTTTCATGCTTTCACCTTATGTATCACAAGACCTTAAAAGCCTTTGCTTTGATCTCCTTGCTGAACCATTGTGCATTTGACCGCTCAAGTTTAATTAGTGCCTTTGTGGTAGCCATGACACTAAAATTCACTAACGATTTTGCTAAGCTTTGGTGGATTTCGTGTATTGATTGGACTGTCATTTTTCAAACGGAAATATTTGGAAAATGGCCCTTTTGATATGGTTAAAGTTTGTCCCACTAGCCCTCCACAAGGGCAATTCGGATAATTTGGATAGAGGACGAGCCTCCAAATCAAACTGTGTTTTTGTGACATTGGAATCATTTTATCAGTTTTTTTTCTGATATGCTGCCATATGATCAGTGTTTTGTCATGCACACATACCCCATTCTTCCTCCATCAGTTGTGGACTATAGTTTTGCTGTTTATTTGCAGGAAAAGTCTGCTGCTTGCCACTGGTATCATAGTTGCTGGTGGGACGGCTGCTGCATACATGCATTCACGAAATAGCTGTAAAAGGTCTGATTCTTTTGGGCATTACAATGGACTTGAAGATAATAAAGAGCAGTTGGACATGGTTCTTGGAAATGATAATATTGTGAAGACAAGTAGGCAGAAGAAAGGAGGATTGAGGTCACTTCAGGTTCTAGCTGCAATTCTCCTATCTCATATGGGTCAAATGGGTGCAAGAAACCTTCTGGCTTTAGTAGGCATAGTGGTAAGCCTCTTCATTTGAGCAAATAGGATTTGAAAAATGCAGGTACAATTGGGCACATGTGAATTCGTGGATTGTATACATGATCTACTAATTGGGCACATGTAAATTCATGGATTGTATACATGATCAGTCAAAGTAGATCAGTTTGTATAAACAGAGTTCTGTCACTTTTTGTTCTCTATATTAGCAGTTCCCTGGGCGTGGTGTCTCTTATAATTTTTTCTTGGGACTGTCCTTGATTAAAGATTTAGGTTCATTTTCAAGTTTTCCATATATCTACACCATTTGTTTTTTGAAAGTTTGAGTATTTATGGTGTAGGGCTATTTGTATTGACATCTCGTGATCTTATCCTAATAAATTTCTAAGTGGCCCAAAAAAAAATGTTTTTCTATTCAGTTTGCTGATACCTTTATGATCTCATTTTATGACCTGTTATGTTTGTTGATGATCTACTGAATTTCAGCTGATGATCTATTAAGCTTTGTGAGAAGTTGGTAATTAACATGACATATACCAAATCAAACAAAGCGTTGTCCCCAATACCTCAGGTCATCTACATGATCTATTTTTCCATTCTACTATGTCAAGAGCTGGGAACTCTGTTAAATTACTGGCACCTATATCCATTTTAGTGCATGAATCATGATATTTGTGGGCCTGCCTTCCGAGAGATCTATGATCTGTGTCTTATCTGAAATCCTAAATGGGCCTATGGAGGAGGTGAATAGGTCTTTTTCAAACTTATCACAGGTGTTCAAGAATTCAAGCAATTATACCAATTCAACAATGAATGTACGGATTTGATTCTAGTGAATAAATTTAACAATCAATGACGTGATGTAAGCAATCAAGTATTGCATGCAAGTATGGAAAGCAATCGCATAAAAGTATGTAAAGCAATCTCATAAGCACCACCATAGGTATGCAAACAGTTTTTGAAGGTTTGTGTATGTCAATTGGGTTGTTTGCACAAACACCTATAGTTTAGGTGTTTAATTTCTCTCAGTGTATTCTTATATTCTCTAGTGGGTTTGCTTCTCTCTATTGGAAGGCTAGGGCTGGCTCTCTTGAGTGTGTAAACTTTTTTCTCATAGATTTCAGCCTTTCCTAATGTTTATTGCGTTTCCTATTTGTATTGGAAGGAGTCCAATTTTTTTTCTTAACAAAATCTTCAAAATTGCGATGGACCGCTTGAGTGCTCAACGAACGGTAGCTACTGCCAAAAATTTTCCAACTTATTTGGCATGATTGCTTGAACCATAGCTAGCGTTGGTCCTCTTTCCAATTTTGACTGATCCGTTGAGATGAAGGGGTATTTATAGGGGTGGTCATCAAGGGCTGGTCGACCAACCTTGTTCTAGAAGTCAATAGCCTACTCCAGCCTGGTCCTAGGTAAGTGTGCATATCCTATTGATGTGATATCTTAGACATAGACAGGGCTCCCTAGAAGTCTTATAGAAATTGCCAAAGTCCACCTTACGATCTTCTTTCTTTGTTGTTGTCACTGGGAAGGTCCAAGTCTGAGGCTTGTATCCATAGCTCTTCCTCATGATGTTTTCGTTGTAGTATAACCTAGAGCTGCAGTACAAGTCATTACATTGCCTATATGGTCCTAGGCTACAATCGATCTTGTTGCAGCGCAACCCCATTAGACATGTCTATTATCTTACTAGTATATCTAGTTACGACTCTCTTTTCTCTAAAATCACCCATATTATGTTTATTGAAACTTTATCACAAGAAATATATGGAAACTCTATAAAGATTTTTTTTCCTGTCAGTATTTTTCTATTAGTCGACTGGAAAAGTGTATGGTATCCTTGTTGAATTTAAGTGCGTAGACGGATTATGAAATTCCATTGTTTCTGCTAGAATGCATCTATATCGTACAAAAGGTTTAAATGATAACAACATTAACATAAGTAGCTCCGATTTCTACACATAAAATATTTATCCTTACCAAAAGTTGTTCCTTGTGGGTCTCTCCACTTATTGTCAGTAGGTTTTGATTTAGATGCGTCTAATCTCATATCAGGGTCAGGCCTTAGGTGGTCACTGGATAACATCTCACACCCATTTGAATTTCCTGGATCGTTATCCCACGTGAGTTCCATGCGAGGAAGGGTGTGAAGAAAGTTTATATCCTCTTGGAAAGATTAGTATCATCCAAGGTTTATATGGTTGAGGGACTTCTCCATCCATTATTGATTGGTTTTAAGTTGAATGATTTTAATAAAGACCTGAGGTTTAGGAGGTTTTGGGGAAGTCTTAGTTTTATGTATTTAGTAATTTCTCACTTTGTTCGTATCATAAGTGCACTTTTTATGTCTTTGAATTTGTCATTCGTTTCTATTGTTTGTCTCTCCGCGTGTGAACAGAGGTCGCACATATGAGAAAGGGTTAGAGATTGTCGTACATTTATAAAATATAACTTCTTAAACTAGTATGTGAGTCTTGTGGGTCTTTCAGTCATTGCTAATTGGTTGATTTGGATGCCTCTAACAGTGATAAAATGATGAGGTTGTGGGTTTGGATCTTAGAGCAGCCAATTTGTATATATAATGCCAAAGGATAGTCTGAATCCAGGACAATCCTCCCATCAATTTTGATTAATGAAAACTAAGCTGGGTGATGACTCTTACACCCCCCCCCCCCCACCCCAGGCCCC